TGCAGCTGGCCCACGCTTGGCAGCATTTTAAATCAATTTCTGTAGTTATTGTAGATCTGGATAGTCAACGTGTTTTGTTTCAACACTTTCAAGTGATGCTTAATGACTAAATGGTCAGGTAAACTTGATCTGTTCTTTGGCAATTTGCTTAAGGTTAYGTTTTCTCAGTATTGGTCACAATACCGTTCACTTTGAAAGCTGCTGTAGTCTGGTGTGAGAACTGATGAAGCAATGAAAGAGTAATGCTCTGAGCAGTCGCTATCTAGAAGGAGGAATCTTATTTCTGTGCCTGCGATGATAAATGTGAAAAGCTCACCTATCCTCCAAACATTAAAAAGCACCCTTAAATAAGTGGTCAGTTGCTATATGTAACTCAATCTACAGATCTGTGTGAGGCTGCATCACCTGTGGATTGAGCCCTTTAAATTGGCCCAAACTGGTGACTATGGACAACTAGGAGCAATGGGGTAGTGAAAGAGGAGGAGAATATGGGAACTGGAGGAATATTTAATATTTTGAACTGGAAACTGCTAAAAAAAAAAAAAAAATCAAAACACCAAATGAGTTTACTTGCCCACCTMTAGAGCTTCTTCAGGGAACATGTCTAAAGGTTCAAGATGAGATATTTCTGTTGACAGTCATGTTTAAGTTGTATTAACTGATGTGCTTTTGTAGCAAAAGGAAATTTTCCAGCGGCAACAAGTCTTCAAAAACTTGAAGCTAAAGCAGCCCTGGTCTCTGCTGAGTTGTGAGTCTTTTTTCTCTTAGCAGAACAAAGTCAAACGAGGCCTGCGCCACCTGTAGCCTACAGTACGAAAGAGATTTGTCATTTTTTGACAATAATTCACATGGACTCCAAAACAAATGTATTTCTGAACAGTGACTGCAGGAACAATAAAGGAAACACTCTYGACTACCTACCAGCCCATCCATCTTTTTAAATCATGTCAGCGACTTCACATTGTTTGGCGAGTTTTATTGTTTCACAGAGGAGGAAATAATTTGTGTTGAAGTTCGGCACGTCGTTGAACTTTGCAGCTGTTGSTTCCTTGGGTTTGATTTCTTGCACATTGCTGTTTCATCATCTACCTGTCATTTGCTTGAGATTTCATAGTTTCTCCACACTGTGTCGTTCCCTAGCTTGCGCTGGCGCACTCAGAAGCTGAACCCTTCCACAAGTGTCCACTTGACATTTGTAAAACTTGCAGTCGTGCCGTGCGCCTGATCTTAGAGCTGTGTTGGCCTGGGCAGGAATTCTTCCTTCTGTCAAGGAAAACACATTTATACACCTCCTTGAGAAGCCTGCTGGAAAGAAAATGAGTCAGGCCTTTGTTTCAATCGCAAGATTGATGAACAGATTTTATAGAAAGGGAGAAAATGCAGACAGTGCAGCAGGTATCGCTRCTCGGAAGGGCAGCCGGGACAGAGTTCACGCTGCGAACTGTATCTTACAGCGTAAGGACAACTTGGATCCAGGTTGTACCTGTCGCATGAGAGAGGAAGAGGCGCCAGTGACTCTTGCTGTTCCCATGTTGTTGGTGCTGTTGTTATAAATGAACGCCTTAATGAGAACCGAGGGAATTTACGGGCAGATATGAAAATGTTGTTCCTATGGTTACCAGGTGTTCCCTCTCAGTCTGGAAATGTCACTAGTATAATGATAGCCCAGGGGTAAACACATGAGGTACATGATGAAGAAGCCCCCCTGCTCCAGCAGAAAATCCTCTCCTTGGCGGGCTGTTTGAGCGGTTTGTTCTGCAACCACCATCCGTTTTAATGCCTTTCTATCTCATTCTTTCTCTCCATAAGCTGAGTTGGGTTGGATAATAAGGAGCTCCAGGGACAGGAAAGTGCAAAAACAAAATGGCATTTAGAGCAAAAGTTTATGTGTACTACAAAGCTCTCTACTAAAATCTCTCCCCACTCATCTCCTCTCTACATGGAYGATAAGACGGACTGTGCATTTCCACAAGTTAAGAGAATAGAATAATAGTTTTTTTCCTAATGTGTCCATATACTGTCTGTCCTGAATATACTAATTCTGGTGACACTTGATATCCATCTTGACCCGCGGGCAGAGGAGGAAGGGAACGAGCAGGGACCTTCTGCCTCTCAGCTCCCTTTCTYGCTGCTTTGATACTGTCGCTGCTGTTACCCACTAGGTCTGTGAGGACTCAAGGTGGGGATGGCATTTCAGAGGGAGGCCACCAGACTGTGAGAGGTGTAGGTTTTGTGTAGGTTTTTCTGTCTATTACAGGGGAAGGAAGGATTGTGGAGTYGGATTAATTCTTGCTGCAGTTTTCTGAAGGCAACGAGATGACACTAGTGATTGCTTTGACATTGATTTCTCAGTACAAAGTAATTACCTGGTCCTTTAAAAAAATATATAGGAAGAGACAGAAAATCAGAAGAGCTGCTCATAAAGAAGTGGATCCTCATCATCTTAAACAGCCCTGACCCTAATCACTCTAAAGACCAAAGCATTAATATTCTGCTCAACCAGAGATAAAACTGAGTCTAACCATGGCAATATCCAGTGTGTTGCCTCCTGCTGTTTAGAGACTGAGATGCAAACTCCTTGCCCTGGGAGGGATTATGAATCACACAGTCCCTCCTGGAGAGTAGGGCCAGTATCTTGTGTGTAAGAAAGCAGAGCCACAGCTGGCAAGGTCCCTGTTAGCACCAGCTCAGGCCATGAAAGCACCAGCTCTTCTAGGGCATCAGTTTAAGATGATTACAGAGATCATTGACCTTTCTAAGGCCAGAGAACTTGCTGATCTTGCTGAGTCTCAGATTCCTAGTTGAGGTGCTTTAATCGGATACCATAACCTCTGTCTCAGGCCATGGAGAGAGACAGAAGCTCCAAAGAGCAAATCATTTCACCCAAGGTCTGAATATCCTTGGCCCATTATTCCTGTCTCAAGTGACAACAGATGCAGAAAGACTTCAAACAATTGCTTCCAGCAGCATCTCAGTCACTATCATGGATCTTAGTGAATCTGGCCATCCTGAATAGCTTTAATTACTTTGGATGACAGGTTGGCTTTGTCACAAGCCAAGTAGATGTTCTGAGATCTAGGAATTAAACTAGAGTTCAGTGAGATATTGCCCACTACTTGCCCACACGGCAGTAACATGTAGGGAGAAAAAATCAAAAATGACTGGTGCCAAGGGGAGGAATGAGACAGTAGCCAGTAAGATGCATGTTAATGATGAGGACGAGCCTGTTTAGCCTCTTCTTGTGATGCAAGAGATTATCAGGGAATCAAAAGGCAGCAGAGATGCCTGAGCTCTACAGTTAGCTAGATGGGCCCCTGTTCTGGGCTGGTGTAGCATGTTTCTATCTCTGATTTTGGAGGCTTAGGAAAGTTCCRCTCTCCTGTGAGTTTGGGTTTGTCAGTGTAGAGCAGCTGGACACTGGTTTTCAGGATTTGTCTTCTCTGGCCTTGTTTTTTGTTCGCCCTCTGAATAGCTCGAGAAGCAACATGGGAATCCCAGCATACCCGTCATCYGTCTCTGTTGTTTGGACCCTGGTCTATAGCTGTAATACCCAGGTGCTTCACAGTATAGTACGTGTGAAATTTTGGTTGGGTGTAGACATTTTCAGTTTACCCCTAAAACTGGTATAAAGAAAATTCGAGTCTGGTTAATTAGAATTTTGATTATTGCATATTTAAAAGTGCAGGCCAAGTAGTTAATTTTACAATGTCACCTCAGGCAAATAAAATAAAATAAAATAAAAGTACTTCCTTGAGCACTATTTTGAGATTGACTCTTTGCATCTGGAAAGAAAGGAATCTGAACAAATTCAGCAGCACTGACACATGTGTTAGAGGGCAGGATGGAGAAGGAAGAATTTCTTTAAAAACATACAAGTAGAGAATTCATGTGTAGCTGCAGAAATCCTCAGCAATTGCTGTCCTTGTGACAGCACTGGAGAAATCCAATCCTAGACACCTTGTTAAGAAGAATGACAACTGCGGTGTGGTGAATCTTCAAAAAAAAAGCAAAACCTGGTGCTCCGTGGCTCCCCTTTCCTTGTTCATTTGATTACACAGATTGTCTCCACAGATTACTACACCTTTATAGATATTCTGGTGACAGTGATGTTTTCTGTCTCAGTGCAAGACTACAGCCCTTGCCTGGTGACATATATCTCCCCATCTGCATAGGATAGTTCCACTGTTTGAATTTTGGGTTAGCCAGGGTTTTGCCCTGTTGAGGGAAATGGTACCATGGCATTTTAGACAAGGCTTACTGTTTGAAATCAGTAAGGACTATCTGCAGCTGGCCAAATAAGGACTATCAGTAAGGACTATTTGCAGCTTTTCCGGGTTAGTAGAAAGCCTGATTACAAAGACTGAAACCTTGTTTTCACACCTCATCATAGCACCAGGATGAACAAACTTGGTTTTTAGAAACAATATAGCCAGCTGGGAAGTTATTTCCTATCCTCTAAACATGTTCAGTGTCAATACTTGGTCATGTTGATCTCCACGGGAGCTRAGGACAGCACAAAACCCTCCCTCACATTTCCTGCAGCTGTAAAGTGGCTCCATTATCTGAACTCAGTTGTAAAGCATTCCTGATTTGTTTCCACACATCTTCTGTGATGGCCATGCTGATTAAGCATATATATGTATATAAATGTGTAAAAACACATTGTGTGTATGGTCTGCTTTGTTTCAGGTGGTTTGAACGTTCTCTGGATTCTTCAGGGAGAAGGGGGAGATGCTGTAGATGGTGTTTTTGGGTTGTTCCTCTTTTTGTGCAGTCATCATACTTGCAGACTGGTAGTGTTGAAAGTCTTTGTAGGCCAGTGAGCTGTAACTGAGACACTCCGAGCGAGGCAGAGTCAAGAAAATGCTGCCATTCTGAGAAAGCATTTAGGACAAGTGTTCAGTGGGAGCTGATCTCAGTATTCTCCTTCCATCATTTTTACAGAAATGAGGTGATGATAGAGTGACACTAAGCTGCCTTTTTCTTTGTTCTCCTTCCAGTCCTCGAGGCCCTATCGTTCCTGAATAATAATTCCTGAATTGGTTTACCACATTTAATCAAATTTAATATTAAGGTAAAAAGCACAAAAAATAAGCTTCTCTGAGAAGAATGGTCAGAGAGAGAAGAGCGAGATTCAGCCRTGCTCCCACAGAAGAGAAGATGTTGTCAGTGATGCAAGATGGTAGAAAAATGTTCCATCTGCAAGAAAACATTCAACTTACTAGACATCAATGAAGCCAATCGACAGGGTAGAACCATGAAGGTAATGTGAATTTTAATTGAAAGTCTTGCTTTCAGAGGAAACAATTAAAGAAGAAATAACATTTTAAATCAGTTACCTGTGACAATGCAATAACTGTGAAGTAATATACTCCAAACACATTTATAAAGTGAAATATGAAACTAATCATTCACTTTCGGGATGCAGTATAGAATTTTTCTGAAATTGGCTTTTTTTTTTTTCTCAAAAACTCTTCAGAGCTCTGTGAGAATATCCTCAACATGCATGTCATTCTGTTTAATTCCCGGTCGCTAAAATGCTATAACAATGTGCTTCCCTGTGTTTTACTTAYTTCCCTGTGTTTTTGTTAAGATGGCTTACTGTTAGAGTTCTCTGACAATACCAGCAGGTGATGGTTAGCTGTGCCAGGCTCTGGAGGTACTCTGGAAACTGTGAACCAGCAAATGTTTCCCCAGAGTGTGTAAATTAGATTAAAATAAATTTGGAAGCATCTATATCGGCATTATAAACAGGAGAAAAAAAAAAAAGCACCTCTATTTTATATACAACGTAGAAGGATTGGCTGCTAAGGGACGATGATCCTTAAAGAATGGCCATCTTTGCTAGGGATTCAAGTCATAGAGAGCAACTGGTGAATGGTGTTCGCAATGTAGAATGGAAGCTTGTTCTGTCAGGGCTGCTGCCAGCTGTGGGCTACAGCTGTGCTGGTAAATTACACATTAGCAGAGAGCGTTTTCTGGCTCTCAGGCYAGCTGGCTGCTCTCGACCTTGTCCSTACCGTTAAACTCCTTCAGGCTCCAAGCAGGATGTCCACATCAAAACTGACTGTTGGACATGATCTGTTGGACAGCCTGTGATAGCTGCAGAAATTGGGAAAGGCCTAGTTGGCTTAAGCCAAGCTCTGCCGGGGCCCTTCTGCCATTACAGGGGGGTTGGCAGTTGTGTTGCACTGGCCAGGGTGTCCTCTGGCACTGTGTTTTTGGATAGCACAGCTCTAGCCTTATATTTATTTAACCAGTGTCCATTTCAAAGATCACAGATACCATATATGCAGAAATTCAGTGTGGCAGGAGTAGCACTTTCTCGTGTTTGAGAGTACCTGAAGCTCTTTCCTTACTTTGTAAATCTCTGGCAGATCCCATTCCATATTAATGATGTGAGATCCTATATAGTTGGGAGTGAAGGTTTGCAGTAACGACAGCTCCTGGTTTTCAAGTTAAACTCTTGTCACRGAGCTGTGATGCCTCTGAGCTGGCAGCTTCTTTGCCAGAAGAAGAAGAGCAAGTGCATCATGAAGCCTTTGAGCTGGTCTAGACCAGTGGCACCAAGCAGCTGCTTTCCAGTTACCCACATCTCATATTAGGCTTTCAAGACATGTCCTAGTTTTTGACCTATTGAACAAGTACATAGCAAGTCAAATGGAAAATGCATGGTTTGCTGCTCTCAGCTTTGAGACAGCATCAGGAAGGTCAATCGAAGATTAATGGGTGTAACTACTTTCTAAGCCTGTCTGTAATATTTTTCRTGTGGCTTCCAAAGGAAACAGGACGCATGTAGTAATCCTCTTCAGTTAGTTTCCCCTGACTCTGACCAAATTTGAAGAAACATGACAAGGATGTCAATTCTTACAAGCAGCCAAGTAGAGGAGGGAATGTCTATCAGGGTCCGCAGTGAGGAAGAACAGCATTTAAGGAAAAGATGAATAAGGATTGTAGAAGGAAGAACAAAGTGCTCCTAGAAATGCTACCACTGAAGAAAGATCTTCATCCAGAGTTCTGTCCTTCACCAGTGGTGATCCTCACGTATACTTGAGGCTAGTTTGCAAAACAGGGAGTCACACACATGGCAGACCAYGCAACTGTGGTCAGCTTTTGGGAGAAGTGGCATTTAATGTATGTACAGTAGTATGATCGCACTTCTCAGCAAGGGCTTCCTAAGAGGTGAACTGAAGCAGCTGCATCTGAGATGAAACTCTCCCATTTTTTTTTTTTTTCTGTGGACTCCAGTGCAACTTTTTCCTTCTCTCTTTTCCTCCCAGCTACTTGTTTATTCYGATTAAATCTCATTTATCTGTCTTGAATCTTCTCACTCTCTTTCTAAACTCTTTGCTGAGATTTTTCCTCCCTTTTTTTTTCTCCCCTGAGCCTCTCCTGGTGTATTTCTTTACCTGTTGTCTCTGCTGATACTGTCTGAACTCAAACATCCCGACTCAACCTGAAGGACAGCAAATCTCCCTGCTCACTGAAGAGACCCTTCATTTGAAAAGGCTCAGCTAGAGACCAAACACAAGCATCTCTATTACAATTAAAACAATGCCRCGGCTTTCCCGATCATAGGCTGACTTTTTTGCAGGCCTAACAGGTGTGGAGAATTGGGAACCCTTAGGAGTGATTGCCTATAATGGCAAATAGCAGAACTGAACTCTGGGGAAGACTATGCTTACCCAATGCCATTTAACATACAGATATTGAGTTTGCAGGGCAATGAACCTGGGAATGCTAATGGTGCTCCCACCCAAGAGAGACAATGAAAATGAGCACTTGCTGTCAGCTATTTAAGTTTGCTTTTATTCTGGACCGCTGGCTGTGAATCAAGTTCAAGCCAAGTTGAACACAAGTCACCGGGAGCTGCATGCAAAAGGTCTCCAATAAAATGGGTGGCAGAGCCGCTAGTCTCGTGCAGCTCAAGTGAGCCAGCGTCGCGTATCTGCCCCTAAATGTCAATGTGGCCGTGTCTGCACACACAGACACCAGCTGCGTGGATCGCCTGACTGCACGGCATTTGGTGAGCACACCGAGTGACTGCTGAAGGTTAACGGGACATGGGAAAGGAGCAAGGGAGAAGGGGGGACTGATCTTTGTTACTTCTGTAGCTACAGGGAGGTTCTGTGGTCTAGTCCTTCAGGTCCCCTCTACTCCTCAGGAGGAGAAGTCTTGTTATCCTGGCTGCTTCTTCAGTGTGGCCGGGCTATGAGAGCTCTTGCGGTGGCTTCAGGCAGAGGTGAATGCATCAGCTCCTAGGCTGCCCTGTGTGTGTCAGATTTAGCCCTGTGTCTTATGGGACTGTTGTAGCCCTCACATCTGTATCTGTCTGTGGTGTTTCTGGCTTGTGTATCTCTCTCTTGTGCATCCCTCCCCCAGTAACATCAGGCTTGGATGGAGAACCTACCCTCTCTTGTGAGCCTTGGACAAATTCCTGCACTACACAAACAGTGCTTTTCGGGAGATGCAAAATGCAGAGAAAAACCCAGTGTGGGCCCTGAGCAGCCTTTCYTCACTCCTCACAGCCTGTGCCAAGCCACCAGGCTGCAGGTGGGAAGTGAGGGAGCTGGAGTTTGCAGCCAACAAAGCCGTTTTCCAGCTTATGCTTTGATGAGATCATCATCTTTTCATTTTTCATCATTTGTCTTCCTAGGGATGGGCAGAACGTACAAGGAAAAGAAATTAAAATGTTTGTGTGGAAAACACAGTGTAATGGGAAGGATGACATCCACCTGGGCTGTGGGACTTTGGGGACTCAGTAACCAGGAGGGGACACATCACTTCTTGCCGATTGTCCCTCTGATTCTTCATAATTGAAGGACTGACCTGTCCTGTGGCAGTTTCTCTCCACCAGGCAGGTTAACAGCACCAAAGCCTGGTTTGGGCACCTTGTGCTCTAGTACAGTGCATGAGAGGGAAAGGGCCTCTAGCTGCGCTGCATTTAGTCATTGCCTCCTCCTGGAGAGGACGGTTCGTCTATCACAGCATGATTAAGGGCACCAGCATCTTGCCCTGTATCAGGGAAAGCTTCAGAGGAAATTAAAATTGACTTCCTCAGGCAGTGCGTATTTATTTATTTTCTTTATGCTGCCTTTCCCCCATGACAGAGCTCTAGTACTGCTGGCATATACAATCTAATATGYGCTACAGGGCTGGTAGCGTGATGGATTTTAGAGTTATAGACACTTCTCGGTGAAACTCATAAGAGAGCGAGCAGAGAAAAGATCCTCAGATACACTGCACAAAACAATACCAGGCTGAATCAGGTCTTGCATGACTTCAGCTCCCTGCTACCACAGGTCAATCACACAGAAAGAAACACTCATACAGGCAAGAAATACTGTACCGCTCAGGTTAGAATGCAATAAAAGGTCCAGAAGGATACTTGCTGATCACTAAATGCTGCTTACAACCTCAGAGTAACACTTCACTGGAGTCTGGACTATCCAGGTAGCCTTTTCTCAGGGCTAGGCTTTTGTCTGCAGAAATACTGTCCCCAGAAGAGCCTGGTAACGAGCACTGCAAGTGAGCCCATTGCTGCTTGTAGTGCTGCCATTTACCAGCAGCTTGGGGCAGCTCCCATCCGTGGRGATTTAGCCTGGCCTTGATTTGACTCAACGAATGCTGTTGAGTGATTTTTCACTTGAAATTCTACAGTTAGTGGAATAAAAAACTTAATTTTCTTTTCTCCCTTTTCCTCACTGTAGGGGAAAGGAAAACAGCCTTTTTTTTTTTTTTTTTTTCTCAGTTGATACCCCTTATCTTTATGCTAAAAAAATATGATTTACAACTTCATAAGCTTTTTTATGCAAAATAGATTGCTTTTAAGCCCCACCAAAATATTTTGGGATTTTAGCTAGAATAATCCTTGTTACTGCACAGTCTTATGATTGCAGACTCTTTGCAGAATCTGTSATTAGTTGAAGGCAAGTATCTAGTAAAAAGCACAAAGCAGCAAAATATGTGACCTAGCCTGGCAAGGGTGTGCTCGTGGTCAGCTCTATGTCTCAAAGACAAGTTTTCCCCTGATTATTTTCTTCTTTTCACACAGCTTCTGCAGGCATTACAAGGTGCTTAGTAAATCTACTTTGGTCTGCAAACTAACTCATCTTTATTTGCCAAAATGATCATTTAAAAGCAGAAACTAGCCTCAGAGCCATCATGTCACTGAACACATAATCGTAACAGCTACAGTTACCAGTTTTTCTGATTTGAGAAGAGCCTGCAAGGCTTTCTACATTTAAAAGAAAAACTATTTATTATTTCTTTAAAAAGAAAATAATGGAAAGCTGAAAGCAAGCACTGAATCTTCATGTAGCCCAGTGGGTGCACAGACAATGAAATTACATTATATGTGTCGCTCTCTTACCCTTATCTTTATTCAAAGTATCAAAAGAGGAAGACAATAAAAACAAATATGCGAAGTAACCTCTGAACAGCACCGTTCTAGGGGAGCGGCCATATAACCTAGCACTGCACAATGGTGATGCTTCCCTCGCTGAAGCCCAGCTGAGAGGTAATTGGAAAGCTCTGTACTTTCYAGTTGTATT